AAAAGACCAAAATTTAAAATGAAAACTATAATCTCGTGTTTGGAAAAAAGCGTTCATATGATTGTTTGTCCCCGCAGCCTATATTGCTGTGCGAATTCAGAAATTCAAAATAAAGAATAACGAAACGCGCGACACTTTTGCGAATAACAACAATTTATGACGATGTTTATGGCTCACTTCCTACTAGATAAAGGACATTGAAATTCCGAATGAATACAGCCTTGCCCTTCTTCCTTTTGCACGGAACCTGACCCGTATTTCGAATGTTTTGAACCCAGTTCAGTCGATTGCATTAACGGCACTTTTGAAAATGAAATTCGAGATGTTTTTATTTTTAGGTAGAAAGCTATAACATTATTGAAGAATTTTGTTTAATTTTAAATTATAAGCGTTTTGAGTATGTTTGCCTTACAAGATTAATACATGATTTTATTGTATATGTGATGACAACCTATATTCACATTTCAAATAACACCATTTCAAAAAAGTCCTAAGTGAATGTACAACCATTAAAATCTGTACTCTTATGTTAGGGAATAACGTCGTAAAATATTTGTTACAATTTTGCGGGAATGATGAATGTCGTTTGTTATGTGTTTAATGTGAAATCGAATTTAATTCATCGAAATAAAGCTTAAACTCCGTACACCGAACACGCCAATTAAGTAGTTTAAGAATGCACGCCATCTATCGTCGAATATGGCATTACTGTCATATTGTTGTCGTTTCGCCAACGCTAATAGACAGTGTAGCAAGAAAGAAAGGGACAGATGCGTATAAGTCGACCGCATACTCTCGCGCATAGATAACAAACTACGTATATTCACTTTATAGGTACTCGCGCGGTTAAATAAGGACATACAACAAAAGAAGGCAATCTGTCGATTTGCCTACCGCCTTCTTTTTATGGCTCCACTTTTAAATCCCCGACTGTGAATCTATGTAAATAAAGTTCGAAGCTCAACATGATTTAAATTTATTAATATTATATTTGTTAATCATTCAACATTAATATAAAAGTAGCTGATGTATGTAAATTATGTTTACTAAGTTTCATAGAACAACTTGGTACAAAATAAGTCGCGTCTTTATTCGCTAACTTGCTCCCTCTAGCGACGAACAAGCCAGACTTTTATTGCGAAGGCATAAAAATCTAGTACATGTTTATTACACGGCATTTATGTTCTCTAATAATGTTCTCTGTTTGCAGATAGAGGCTTTCTTGCTTATCTTTTTTATTTTTATGTTCAGTCTATTTCCTCGCCTCTAAGTACCACTTACAACGATTATAAAATTCACAAATGTTTGTTTTTGCAGGTAAAATAAATTGATACAATATTATTATATGGCAACATAAAACCTGTCAGATTTACAGTGATCATTATTTTTTATACCAATAAGGGAAGAAATTCAACGAATAGGCGATTTACAGTTGAAATTAAATATTGCAAAAATTATGTAGAAAATGTGGACACTAGCGATGTGACAGCAGTAAGCCGGAATGCCTGCGCCCTCTGGCGGTGCATTGCGCAGTAATTGGGATTCGGTTACATCTGCTAACCACATGAAACAAAGCACCGGTTGGCCTCAGCTAGCATTAAACACTGACATTCCATTCTCGTACTATTAATAAATTAATTATTTAAATTGTTTTTGTACGTTAAATATTTCATTGTTTAAATAGGCAACATTGACTTACCTACACGCTTGCTACTAAATCGATGGCTAAGCCTTAGTTTAGCTTAATATAAGGAACGCCTTTAGTCACATCTCCCACACTTATCTAATAGTTAATTAAAAGTTTTTCATATAAATTGTACCCGATTCCCTTAATCACCACTTAATATATCTGATTTAAATGATTGTGCCTGTTTACATTTTAATTTGAGTAGTTTAAAAAAATATAAGTGTGGTAAAGCCTATACAGGATGGATGTCCGCAGACAAAAGGCTTTACGTTTTCTATTTATTTCTTCAAGGAATATTTTCTTGACCTATATCTGAACATCTTAAGAAACAATTCTATATTGATCTGTCAAACCCATAAGGATAGTTTGCCGGCTGCGATTCTGCAAAGTGCATCAAAAAGAATATAAAGATACTGGTTTTTTATTACATGTCGAAGATATGGTAGTGGTTTTAGAAATATAAAAATATAGACGGAAGTCTAGTCTTGTGTTATAATTTCTTCTAAGGTATAAACGTAGACAGTAAAGCATAATTGTTTTCTCCTTCTTTGACAAATATGCAGTTCACTTTAAAAGGAGGTGATGGGATAACAAGACAGTGAATTCCTCCATTGTATTGAAGTTAAGATATTTTAGAAAAAGCAACTATCGTGACTTGTGCGAATTCGATTGAGACATGTTAAATTGTATTTACAATAGACAATTCGGTTACAATGTCAGTGTGATCTTAAATTTATATTTTATGTCGCCTTACAAACGTAAGGTCGACGTGACAGAATAAAACAAGAGGTATTTTATTGGTACTCCTGTATGGAGAAGTAAAACGCATAAGCATAAAAGAATTCTAAGCGACAAAAATGGTATCAAATAAAATGGCGCCGTTCGTTATTCATTGTGTAAACGAGTCACGTGTTCAATATTGGAATTGGCTTCAGATAGCTATCAATTTTTTCTTCAGAATAGTCTTTGATTTAATTATTCAAACGCTTTTGATGTGCGAACTTACAAATCTCAAATTAATCAAACTCTATTATGAATCAGTCAGAATACGTATGAATTAATTTTTATAATCTTAAAGTAAAAAGTGAAAGTAAATTATTATAATTCTATTGAACTTTGACATAAGGTCTTTTATTACTTTAATTACTATTCATTTATTCTAATGAGTGCTTTTAATTTTCCTTTAGATAATTCACGAGTTTGTCTTGAATTAATAATATAATTTTCTAAACTTAGAATGATGTAATAAAATGTATACACTGTTTATTACTAACATAAAATATTTTCTGTATTCAAGGAATAAACAAGTTGCTCTGAAACTTGTTGATTGTATGAACAAGTAAAGCTCACCCTCTGTTCTAATAAAGATCTATAAGGTTTACTAGAAAACTACAGCTCGGCCTGCTTTAAAAGTCTTGAAACCATTTTTTCTCTACTTAATTTTCAAATTTATAACTTACATATATATGTATTACATCAACAGCTCAATATTCTCCACCCAGCTAGATTGCTGCAACCTGCTAAATTTTACATGAACACTTCTTTCTTATTCAAAGGAGACAGATAATATAAATTCAAGCAACTGGAAAATAAATCAGCTAAAGTTATTTGGGGGTTCGTCGATCGGCTTGCAATTTTAATACAGCAAACCCATCCCTCCGCTACCCTCTCACTAGGTGCGACGTGATCCGTCCCCGCGTGATTTATTCCCCACGACCAGACTTGTTAATGCACGACTCCGGAACGAATTGCCCGACCGCTTCATACGCACGTCTGCATCTATCTGTGGTTTATCACTCTGAAACACGACTTTTATGTTGCTTGCATCATAGGTTTGTTATGAATAAGTACACTAAAATTAAAACATACAGTAAGCAGTTTTATAACGATAATAATTGTTGTATTTAGTTGTAATTGTTGAGTAAACAAGAAGCGTGTTAATGAAGTCGTCTTTAAACTCTAATAACATTCAGTTCGAAAAATAAATCTTTTTATGTTTTTAAGAGAATCTGATCGTATGTCACAATCTTCTTATAAAAATAATATTATTGAACTCATGGAAAAACCTAAGTCGTAATAATGAATAAAATAGTTTCGCTGCTTAGAAAACCTTCTCCTGCCCTCTATCGGATCATTACGGCAACTGTAAGACTCTGCTGATGATTGTTTTTACCGACATCTATTGGCGATATAGTAAATCTCAACGGATACAGCCAGTCACTGATATGAAAATCACACTCGTTTTAACACTTTACAAACAGATGGCGTTATACTGAATAGAACAAAAAAGAATTAATGAAAATAAGATTATTGTACAAAAATTTTCATGAGTGTTTACAACGAATTTTTATCAGTGAGTTTAACTACAAGGTGTGTTTAAATAAATAATGATGTTCAGATTTGAAAGCAAAATTCATTGAGGGTTCAAGAAATGTTAGCAAATGTGAACTACAAAAATGAAACCACTGTGATTAATTCACACTTTAATCACTGCATATTGATTAAAATGACACAATTTAGAATTAAATAAATATAGATTTGCAAGACGTTAGATATTATTTACTGAAATGATACAAATGTAAGATTTGTTATTTCGTAACAATAATTTAAATATGAAAGTCAATAACAAGTATACCAACTCGTACAAAGTAAGAAGCGAGACGCCGAAACACAAAGAAAATATGCCACCATACGTCGCTGTAAATAAAATTATTCAGATTTAGTGGAAAATTAAATATCCGTGTGAGAGCATAATGAACAACACTATAAGATTTCATAAATCAAAAGTTCTCGATACTACAATCTTCTTACTTTAAGTCGGTCAGGAAAATAAAAACAAAATATATTTTCCTTTGAGTAGGGTCATAAAATCAGAATAAGCAATTACTTGCTCGATTCCTGACACAATTGGAATCTAAAAATGTCAAGGCCAAATCGTGCTTTACATATTAACGCCTGGATTTTCTTTTCGTTTTGTTTGTGAAACAGGAAAATCAGACCAAATTGCTCACCGATAAAGTAATTGAAGTCCATTAAAAGCATTAATTTGTAACTGTTGCATGTTGACTTCGCGTAATAAACTTGTATAGCGGACAGCTCACTCACGTTATGCTCTTTTCTGAGGGGAAGGGAAAAGATAATAGTGTTATATAGTCATAAATAAGTCAGTCTTATTTATCTATTGAAATAAACTAACTTGTAAATGATAAGGTAAGAAATGATAGAAACGATTACTCCATCACGTAATTATATCCCTTCAGGTTTCTTTAAGCGGAATTTAATGATATTTCGATTGTTATTAATATACCGAAACTCACGTTACACTAGTAGCAAAAATGTCCGGAAGGAATGGAGTTACATCGCTCGATACACTGTATCTCTTGTCCCAGCACTCCATGTAGCACACCGGATCGCAGGCTCTATCCTCCTCCGATATGTAACCTTGGTAAAAGAAAACTAGAAAACATCAATATTTAAACATAATTTTTTGGATAAGCAGCAAATTGTCGTTTTGAAATTAACGAAATCGCAGTTATAAATCGCCATATAATTTGATCATATATCCTTATAAACTTAACTAAGTGAATTGACAGGGTTCTGTGCATTCAATTTTATCAAAATCAAAGGTAAATCAAAATATAATTAACATTACATACTTGTTACATTGTTTAAGCATTCCAAATTTTGAAACTCGCAAATTGGTATTGACCTCACTGAAAACGTATAAGTACTTTAAACGAATACAACTCACTTTAATACAGATTAATGTAAAATTTTCATTGAGCAAAACAACCAAATCAGCTACATAATTCATGCATTAATAAACATGTTGTCTAAACAAACACAATAAAATAATCTTACGTTGCTTTCGTTCAGTTACTTACACCCTTATGCAACTTACTTATTGGATACTTATAAGGAACACATCCACAATATTTTAGAAATGTTTTCATTTTACATTCCGTTAAACATGTTTCATAGCTGTATCGATCAGTGTATTGCAACAAGACCTCATCGTGGAACCAGCAGGCGCGCTTCTCCGGAGACACATTGCGAATATCCTCCTCACATTGAAACACTAACGGTTGTACTTTCATATCTAAAGACTCTCCTAGACTTAAAAATCTATACGAAACTGTGATCTCTGGATAATCGTTAGGGTCGCTGATCAAAATCTGTAAAAAAGTATTTTGGGGAAAACAACTTATTAATATTCATTGCCAGATAATAGCGAAACGCAAAATAAGCTTCTAAGAATAGAATGTCATTTGAAATTTTCTGCTATAGTTAAACGTTTTATCAAATCGTATTAGTATTCGGGTGAATTTGGTTAAAACATTTCAGTGTTACCTTCGCCCCGTAGTACGGTACGCCAGACCAATTTGGATAATCATTTGGTTCTACGTTCAAAATAACACTGAGACCAGATCCCCTGTAAATTACAAATTATTCCTATATTCTAATTTAGTTTTTTCATGTGATTTTTACGTTATACTACATATGAGCTGATTAATAATCGACTTTTTGTTTTATTATTCATAAAATTTTGTGATACCTGCCCGACTCCGAGGTTACCACTATAGGTTGATTTGTGGTGACATCCTCACCACTTGGATCTTCGTAATATTCAATGTCTTCATCTTTCGCTGACACAGAACTAAAATATTAAAAAAACGAATTAATCGCATTGTTGTTTTTTTTAATTGCAATAATACCAATTATTCGAAAGAACAAAAATATGAACTGTAATTAGAGTTCGTAGCTATACAATATTTATTGGTTTAATAAAAACCAATACTAAATTGTTCTTAAACAGAGTAAACGCTTTTCCAATATCTAGAAAGGTTTTAAAAATAACAAAAGTCGTCTTCTATTTCACTTTTGTGAGTTCATTAAATTGCTACAAATTCAACATGTAAGCGGAGATCGTGCCTTGTCATCAGAAGCTTCGTCAATTTATATTTTTTGCTTAAATTATTCTAATAATTTGATTGAGATTGTTTACCCTTTGCGGTCATCATTGAGAGCGGCGTAGTTAAATGTACAACAGTGACCGTCGTATGTTTTAATCAATCTGAACATATCGACACAATTCTTTACCTTTCTATTAAAGGTGCAATGCACTAACAACTTGTCGCATTTTTGAAGGACCTACAAAAATATAACATAATATTAACAATAAATATTTTTCTTATAGTATTCATTTAAATATCGTTATATAATTACCTCTTCCATTATTGATTCTACGGTGAAATAGTGATTCTTAAGTATTGTCATAATTTCACTAAAATGACTAATATTCTCTACTGAATAGCTGTAATCTCGTAAATGATGCAAGTTATTAAAAAAATTCGAAATGTCAGATTCCAAAATATCATGGTTCTTCCTAAAGCAAAAAAAAGCATTATAATGTGTACATTTTAGTAAATAAATCTGGTAGTTAGATAGTCGTAAAGCATCTCGTATATGGCAACCCTTACATAAAGATTTTGTTGTTCAGTAGTCCGGTGCGGAATAAATTTTGCATATTTTAAGTCTCGTTACAAAATTTGTGAGTTCGAAACTTCAAAGCTGTCTACTAAACAAATTGGATAATTAAATTAATTGCTTTTGACAATCTCACAGGACGTTTAGGTATTTTGTTATTCTATCAGTTGCTTTACAAAAGACAAACAAAGAAAGTTAATTGATAAAACAAATATTTAAGAATACAAACTATGGGACGGACGAATCTGAAGTTAGTTTCAATTAGAAACAAAATCACAAGTAATTTGGAATGTGGTTCATAAAGTTTGAATTGTAAGTAATATATAAGTAACTTGTGTAACTTACAATATTTGAATGATAGACTGACTCTCCCGCAACGACACCTTGTTGAAATTACAAATACTAACAGCAGGGAAAGGCGTCTCGTTCAGTTGACATTTGTTACTGATCTGAATTGGCAAAAAATATTCGAAATAAGCTTAAAATATTGGTTTTTATAAAGAGAACACTTGATTGGGTTTCACTCAGTTACGCATAAATATTATTGGCCTAGATCTTTTATGACAATTTTTAGTTATAACGTCTACTATAGTCTATAATCTTTTGTTTTCACTTACCCGTGTTAAAATCTGATCATTATTGTATCTATTTTTGATGACTATAACAAAGGCAATTGTTAACATTACATTGAAGAACATCAGAAGCCGCCATAACTTAAGTTTCCTGCCGGACAGTACTGAGAACTGATTGCTTCCATGCAATGTTGTTATTGTTGGCAGCGACATTTGTAAGAATTTTGTATAATTTAGGTTTCGTTTTTTACTCATTTTGAAAATTAAATTTTCGATATTTTATTATGAGTAAATTGGTAAGTAGACTAATGAAATGTAGTCAGAGTATTAATAGTCAAGTTTTAGTTAAAAAAAATCGTGTTTCATTTTCCCTTTTAATGATCTAAGTTGGTAATAACTTTTCTTAACATATCCTATAATTGATTCTTTATTTATGAGGCAGCTCACACAACATATGAATATTAATGTGTATTTTAATATCAATGCTTTATGAACAAAGCATATTAAATATTTTAAGGGTACTATGGATAAATTAAGATAGAAAAAAGTGTAGTAGACAAGATGTTTTCTAGCTATGATCCCACTTAAAACAAACTTTTACAATAATATTGAGAAGTTTTTGTGTTTCAAGTTATATGCGCGGAAAAATATATAACGAATATAGCAACGTAGTATATCTCTGTTGTTATGTTATCATCATAATTTACATGATGATAGATACCTTTAAAGTGGTCCTTTTTTAATATTTTTTCTGTGTGAAATGTACATGAAATTCCTTTACATATTTCCACTTAAATGTAGTATACGACACCCTATTTCATTCAAATTATTGCTGAAGTCGTTAATTCATGTTTGTAAATTAACAAAACTTCTTGAAACTTGTTTATAATTATAGGTTTTGACAAAGGAATGAAAGTTTTGAATCAAACCCTAAGATTCTTTTAAGAGTCATATTCAATTTAACTTTATGAGTCGAAAGTCGACGGATTAAATCAAATATATCTCGAATATCGGTACGCGATGTCTAAAAACAAACCATTGAAACAAAAATTGCTGAAAAAAACTGCAGATTTTCTTAAGCACTGTACGATTCATGGATTTTATTACTTTTATAGTAGTGCTAATAAATGCGTCAATTTGTTTTGGCTGGTCGTCATTGCATCCAGCATCGGTCTCTGTGGTTTCTTAGGACATATGATTTGGAACAAGTTTATTATAGATCCTACTTTCACTGTGGTAAGCAAAAATGATTTTTTTAACTTGATTCGTGTGCGTTTTGTTTATCAACAATCCTTTACTTCTTTTAAGTACATTATGTCTTTTTTTCCAGTTTTATGTAGTTAAGTAAGGCGTTTATTTTTCCGTAATTTTGTTGCACTGTTAGGTGGAGACAACTCACTATCCGACGAGCAAGATCCCGTTCCCAGCGGTAATCGTGTGCGACACGGAAATGGTGTACGGACCGAGCACGAACAATATCAAAGATATACTGTCAGTATTGAACTCACGTATTACAATAACGAAACTTTCTTTAAGTATTTGATGTTTTTTTTTAAATAGACAATATCTTTTAAAAAATCAATACTGAAAATAGTATATAAAAATGAATTTCACCAAGCAATCATCATAGATAAAAACTTTCAAATAAAAATTAATTTCACCATAAAATCTCAAATACAACCAAATAATTATCATTTAATTTATTTTGTCAAAAGGAATTGCTAGAAATAAACTTAATTACAGACGTCTTCGGGGATTTCAAAACGAACAAATTGATGATTTCTTTAGAAGCTTAACAGATATTAAACTAATAGGATACGAAATACAACCTCATGTTAAGAAAATGCACTCAATCTTGGAAAGTCTTGGTTATACATATAATGATCTGTTAAATACAGTAAGTTTAAATAACTTCTATATGTTTGATTTATAATAGTAAGCTAGGTTCAAGTAGCAAGTAAAGAACGTTACGACTTAATGTATAGCCCTCTGTACGTACCGATCAGATTTGCCAGTCTACTCGAACCAGCCAGCTATACGAACCGCGCACTAATGTTTTTTTCCTTCACCCTGAGGCAACCTGAGCCTGCACAGAACGGATCTGAAAATATTCTTTACTTAGAGCAGCCTACGCTGTAGATTAGGCGTTGTTAGCTATTATGAAAGGTCAAGAAAATTTAATAATCTTATATCAAGGACATTGTAATTTTAACAAAATTATTCCTTATTTTACCAGTTCAAGAAGCCATGTGAAGTTTTGATAGAGAAATGTGTTTGGCGATCAAAGCTCATTAATTGCTCGGAAATGTTTCGTACAGTGCTGACATATCTTGGCTACTGTTGTAAATTTGATTTGACTTATTTTAGGTAAGCTACTACCACGTAATTAGATGTCCGTACCCTTAACTTATTAGTTTAGTGATTCTATTTAACATTGAACCTTCTCTATGTTTATAATTTTCAGTTTGCACGCTGAAGAAGGAACGAATTTCGCAGGAGGTACAGAGATAACTGAAGGCTTAGATATCACAGTAAATACAGATAAATATTTTAGCAGCGGCAATAAGAGTGATGGATATGCATCAGTTAGTTAATCAGCTCTTAATTAAAAAAACAAATTTGTTTTTAAAATCCATCCATTTTTGGATCTGACTTGATTCTAGTTTACATAAAAGTTTCCAAACAACAAGATCAAGTCGATTTGAGTAACGAATGACAAAATCAAGAACTCTATATATTATACTTTTTGTCATAAAACAATACAAAGATCTATATGTTTTAAATTTTAATCAAATGTGTAATGGTTTCTCTCTTTCTAGTTGTATGTCATCGACAAGGACGACAAGATAACGATCTTAGACAACGCTATAACAATCACAAGTGGGGCATATTTCGATGCCACAATCACTGTGTGGCTAATGGATTCATCCGCAGATGTTAAAGCTCTCTCGCTATCTAACAGAAAGTGTTTTCTTGATACTGTAAATACTTTGCTCTCATTATGATAAATATATGTACAAAAATCCTTTACTTTAATTAAACGTTGAAATGAACAAAAAGCGTCAATAGCCCAATGGTTAAGGGTACGGATTTCCGACCACGAGGTCGGGGGTTCGAATTCCGCCATTCGACTATTGTCATAAACCATATCCTAGCACAAGCTAGAGCTTAGTTGGAATGGTTAAAGAAATATTACTAAATTTACAAAAAAATCTGCTAATATTTTATTAAAAAAAAATCTAACTAATATAAATACGAATGTTTGGATGGATGTATGTTTGTTAGAAGCTATCTCCAGAACGGCTGAAAGAATCTCTCTGAAGTTTGGTTTAGATGTAGAACATAGCCTGGAAGAACACATATACATCGGAAAAGTTCTTTTTAATGTATTATATAACAGTTTACAAGGTGACGTAAATGATATTCTGATGATGTTGATAGGTAACGTATTTAATTTTATATTTAAGTTTGCGTAAATTTCTTTTAGGATTTAAAAACTGGAGCTACTTCTTATCAAAACTGTATGATGAATTTAGTTATGAAGAAAATCATCGAATATTGTCAATGTATACCTTTTAACTTTGAAGGTAAATCACATTAATGGCATCGTAACAGAGTGTTAACTTTTACTTATTTTTCTTTTATTCCGTAAAATTTATTTGCAGCCAGCATATTGTCTGTTGAAGATTTTCCTGCGTGCTCGTGGGGCCGGCTTAATTGTGTTTATGATTCTTTGGGTAAATTTTATTTAATACCTTTTAAAATTTATTTGGACAAATAATTAACGACGTATTGCGTATCGGTTGTGATAGTTTTAATCGGTGTACAATTTTGTTGTTTACATAGAAAATAATTTAATTTACCTTATTTGAAATACATTATAGTAACTTATCATTTTAAATTGATGTTTTCATACGCATTGTTTAATTTATCGCTTGATTGTTGACTTAATGAATATAACGAGGTTATTATTAAATTATTCATAAATGATATTGTATGAATATTTCAGAATTTATTCAAGGGAACATACGTGAAGTCGTTTCTCATAATGATTGCTATCAGAACTGTGATTATATCGAGTATGAAACAGAAGTGGAATATTTAAAACGAGACCGAACAATTAGGTAAGTTTCATTAAACCACACAACCGTACAGTACACTTGTTATACAAATACAAGTAACAAATAAAGGGTTAAGAACCGATAGAAGTGCTGATTAAATCGATATGGTAAACTTGAACTGATCGTCAAACATCGACCTTTTGGAGCTTTCAAAATCAAGTGCTTTAAGACCGTGTATAGCAGCCCTAAATTCTACTCATTTTTTTGTCATAAGATGGCAAACGCGCTATCCGTCACCTAAAATCGTTGAAACAGCAAATGACCGTTGCCCATAGACATATACAATCGCATATGCGCTGCCTACCCTTAATCGACAGAAGAGGGCATGCACATTAAGAGAATATTTTCCTTTCCCGTGCACCTTTTTATCCGGAAAATCCACTACCACTTCCCATCTTTTCCTTATAAAAAAAAAGTCTACGAAGAGAAAGAAGACTAAATTAGCCAAGATACTAATCTTATGGCCATTCATTTGTTAATTTCCAGAATTCCTCGAACAAACAGTCGCGTAACTGTTCATTTTGAAGACAATAGTTGTATGAAGTACAGACGAGAAGTGCTGTACACGTGGGATCAGATGTTGGGTATGTACTGGTAACATTGTTTCTTACAAAAACAATGTTATTAAACAAAACTCCGCTGGTGATTCCTTTAAATTAAGGTCCATATCGAAGTTCCGTCAAAGTTTAAAAACAAAATGCAAATTAAAACTCAACCTTCGGCAGTTCTCTAATTAGAATATAAATATTTATGTTAAACATTTTCCTAATTTCAGCTAATCTGGGCGGCGTGTTCGGACTGTGTCTAGGAGGGTCAATAATAAGCATTATAGAGATAATATGGTTTATTTTGGATCTGCTGTACACGTGCTGCGTTAATTATAACACTAACAAAGTTACTCATAAGAGTCATCGAGGGGTTAAAGAAGTTTTTACAATATCAAATAAAGAAAACAGCGGAAAAAAAAATAACAGAAAAGGATTAATTACTCCGAGAATTAAATTTACACATTAAATTAAGAAATTGAAGTCGCTATTACGAAAAAATTGATAATTAAGTCTATTGTAGAATTATTTAGTCAAACAAGAGAACAAAACAAACATCCTTCTCCTTCCACTTCTTAATAATATTACGTAGTTAAATATTAAATACATTTTTTAGGACCAACTTTTTCATCTAGTTGCCATCTTAGTTAAATTAATTCTAGGAAAGAACATTTATTAAGTTATTGAATTATCAAGAAAGTATAAGTCCTTTGAATTTTAATTAATTTTCCGAAGGTTGTCTATTTCTCTAGTTATTGCTAAAACATCATACTGTATTTTAAATTGTAGAATATAACACATTAATGGCTTTTCTCATACAAAAAGTAAACTCCTGTATAAAATACGACTAATTAGTTTTAATGAAGCTATTCATGTTATATATCTATTATGTACTTTACTTTACCGAATACTTAGTAGTAGTAATAACTTTTTATAGTTTTCAGTTTATTAATTTCTTGTCCTTAAATAAACATAAGAGAAACTGACAAGTTTCATAAGAAAGGTATCAAAACACTCCCGACTACGGAGCCTTTAGAATTAAACTAGGGAAAATATGTATATTTTGTTTTGTGAGCTTACACTTCCACATGAACGGCTTGTTGAACATTGAACGTTTTTATGATAACTCACTCGTGTATACTTTATTGCTGTACGAAAAACTCTAAAACATTACTTCAACCCCAATGTAGGTAAAGCATTAATTGTAAAGCGCAAAATTTTAAAGTTGCGAAACATTCAAATCAAATAAATTTATAATATATAGTGGGCGCACGCCACTTCGTCCGTGCGGAATTAATTAAAATCTAATAATACATTTAGGCTATGACATTCCGGGATAGTGTAGCTTCCCAACAGTGTAAGATTTTTTTTTAAAAATCCATTCAGTAGTTTCGGAGCCTATTCAATACAAACAATCAAACTTTACCTCTTTTTAATATCAGTATAGGTAATGTATTGTCATAAAATGAACTACGAAAACTAAAATCTTATGTTAAAAAGTATAGCAATCCAGTGTTAATTTTAGTGCGAAATAAAATTAAACTTTTTAATGAAAACGTTATAATACAGATAAAAATTGTGTACATAAAAAGTTTGCGCTTGAAATATATGGCACGTGATTCTTTTGTTTCAGTTAATAAGCTTTTATTTCATCGTAAACATTCAGAATCCGATAACAAGAGGGTTTTTAAGATGGCCGACCTCGGGTTTAACCAATACAAATTTAATTTCCAACTTTTATTTAAAGGAAAAGGAATAATGCTTATTTTACTTGTATCTAAAGTAGTATTTAAATAGATAAAATAAAAAATAGCATAATTATATTCCACTTTAAAAGGAAAGCGAAAAGTTCATTTAATGTTTGCAAACTGTATATAATGTTCTGAAAAAACATCTGACAGTAAAAGTCCAAACATTATAATGAAGGATTCGCTTTGTCCGCGCGCATCATAATTCTATCTATACTGGTGATTATTTTTCAATTAGTATATCTTTCTCTCTTAATTATTTACATTGCCGCTCGACAAAACACTATCAACAAAACAAATTATCTACTTAATAGCCGCTATCGCATCGCCAATCGCAATAACAGGGAGGTTTAATTAATCCGCCAAAGTGAGGATGATTCAATCAGCTTCCTTCCTAAATAAACAAAATCAGGAATTAAGTTATAATTAATATAGCTATCTAAACATTTATATCACATTTTTGTACATTGCTCTACGTCGGTTTTTTGCAATAATAAAATCTACATATATATAGACAAACAAAACAATTTTATTTCAAATGACAATTCTTTTTTTAATGTACTGAAAACTGACCAAAGCTCGACCAAACCGCTACCGATCGAAACTTCACCTTATTTTAGTAAAGATGCTATAGTAAACGGAAGCTTAACATCGTTATTAAAAGAAAATAACAAAGTATAGCAAAAGATGAAATTTATCGTTACCTTGACCGATTTTATAATTTAGCTGACACAACTCACTGCGACATACATATAGATTAAAACTAGGCCATCAGCCATCACTTTTTTCTGTCCCAACTACTAAAGTTATAATTAACGCTAACGACATTCTTGAAGCTATAAAGATTCGTTAATTAATATTTTATGTCGTCGCGTGGTATGTTTTAGTACCATTATACTTACATAGACTCATCTACTTCCCCTTGTGATTGTTTCATTATGAGAAAAGGGTAGGTAAAGAACATGCATGAAAATTAGGCCTCCGGCACGGACAGCCATGAGATGAAACGCGGAATTACTCCTACTTTATACCTGTCTTTTATGAGGTCTAAGTATTGTACCGTGCCAGCAGGTTCATTCTTGCACCGTACAAATATTATAATTGCGGGCTCTACCACTGTTAAACGTGGAATAATTTAAAATCGTTTAACCAATGAATTACCTCTACTAGCCCCTTGTATGTGCAAAATATCGTATGAACTCAATAGGCACTGAATTAAATTGTAAAAAATAAATAATAGCAGCTCGTTCACATATGAATTTTTAGGTCAATACTTTAGTAGGAATTTACTTTTGTCCGTAACTTAAAACGTTAATTTATGTAAAAGACCATAAATTATTTTAATCACTTGGGCGACAAGAAGATATTCTGTCTTTGTTAGAACACAAAAGACCCGTCAGTGTGTTTTCGTACTGGCGAATTAGGGAAAATTACAATAGGCTTGCTCAATTGTCTTATTTTTTAAGCGGAATCCTAACTGCAGGCATGTATAAATAAATGAGAAAAACGGTTTCTTAGTAACGTAACTTAACTACGACGGAAAATAACAACAATTTCATTTCGTGCAGATCCTTTTGTATTCAGTTTTCCGATTTGCCGCTCATCAAACTTTAAAGCTGTGTTTCAATCTAGAATTAATTGCTCATGAAAACGAATCATTTAATTGTCCTCTGTTTGTTTGCATTTAAATTGAACTTTTTTTTTATTTTCACAACATAATGATACACAACAACAAGGAGATTTACGTTTTTTAAATATTTATTGACTATTTTACTTTACAAGCCTTTTTGGACAGTATTGGAAGACCAATTTTGGACTATTATAAAGAAAATGATGGTCTATAAGAGTGACAATATCCCCGAATTAAGTGTTTAATATGATGATCACTGAGAGGCAAAAGCTTAAAGTTCTATCTGACAAAAAAGAAACCACAATATCTCTCAATATACGTGTCACCGCGACTAAGACCCATCATGACAAAGAACCATTTTATCAAATCTTTTATTTTGTTCTTCGACTCACATTTAAATGAATATAAATAGAATACTTTAAAATAAAAGCGATAGTTACATAAACATAACGTTTGCAAAAACAAGCGCATGTTATTGTGGAATGACGTGTACATATCTTTTTAGCAAAACAGAAATAGTACTTGCATCAGCCGCGTACTCTTCAAAAATCACAAGATTCAAAACTATTACTCGACTATTTAATTTAAAAGAATCATACTTCGGCGAAGTATGAAAATGAATCAAAAATTCAGTGTAAACGAACAAACAACCATCGGGATTCACTAAAATGGCGAAGTGACCGCTGAACAAATCCACATTTGAAAATGCATTCCTTTTCTACCCATAATCATCACAGAGACGCACGGTAAGGCGATATTTCCCGTACCTTATCATACACTCCCCTCCAAATCCACTTCGCAATCTAATCCAGGAACCTGATTATTAAAAAAGGGGGTAATAGTTAAATAAATAATAAAAAAATATTTTACATACATAAAACCTTTATAGGTATCTAGTTTTCTGTAATTAAATAATTAATATTTTTTTTAAGATTAGTCGCTAACACAAAATGTATTTTAATTTCTAAAATATGTACACACACACTCAGCATTTTTCTTCTATGAGTACTAAATCTGCACTTAAACAATGCTGTAAAAACTTTTATAGCCCCTGTACACTGAGTTTATCTCAGCTCGACCACTGACGTGGATACTGACTACCATCTAACAATACTTCTCTACCTTCCTACCTATCTAAATAGGTTTAAATATTTGAATACCTGTACATAACTAAACACTAGTAATATCAAAATTTAATAATTAAAACAAAGCAATAAATAATTTACAACGAATTACTTATTACCTCTTTTGTCAAAATAAAATATTACATTTCTATTTAGTAACAAACTCTTAAGAAAGAATTTTCTTCGGGCGTCTTTAAAAAGAATTATTAATTTGTAATTTGTTAATTATGGCCAGTATTATTTAATATCTTTACAATACAGATAAATAAACAACCGAGTTCGTTACAACAACTTGGTTAATTGAGTTTATAACATCATTGTATCCTAGGACTTTTACATCGCTATTAATAATAATTGTTTATATCTGCTTTTATTGTTGTACCTCATCATTATCAGCTCACTATACGTCGCCACCGAGGGGCCTGGAGCCTACCTTAAGTTAAGGGTGATTAGGCCATAGTCAACCACGCTGGCCAAGTGCGGGTTGGTTGAGTTTCTTGAATTACTTCTCAGAAATGTGCAGGTTGCATCACGATGTTTTCCTTCACCGT